AAAACACACAAAGGGCACAGCCTCAGCTCTGTTACACAGCCCTTCTTTTCTTGAGGATTCAGTGGAGCCTCAAAATACAAACTACAGCCCCAAACCTAGGAAGTGCTGTGATGAGGCACACAGAGAAAGCTGCTTTTCCAGCTGTGCCAAGCCTGCTTTACAGAAAAGCTGACTGTCATAAACCCAGAATATGAAGAGCATTTTGAATTTGTATTTTAACTTAGCTAAATGTATTACTTCACCATGCCAATACATTCTCATTAGCAATGTTCAGTTGGCAACACTTCTCAGAAGTGTTTTTTCATCCAAAACAGGTTCATGAAGAATTGTTTTGAAAGCAAAGTGCACTAATAAAACATTTCCAACCTCAAAGTATGTACCTATATCAAAGGGGATAGTACAGTACAAAATGAAGAAATTTTGATGCAACTGCCTCCTTCCTGATCAAAGAAGCAACATTTAGATATTAGTGTTCACAGATGTGAATGCTATAGCTGAACAATAATGCAGCCATTCCAGTTTAAGCTTCATTTTTCCACTCATTACTCCCACAAAAGCATTCCTTTTACGCTTGTAGCAAGCTAAAAAAGAAAAGCATGTACCACGTCCAGGAAAAGATTCGCCACAACAGGCTTTCTCAGTTTGTCTAACATTCTAATAAAACAATGAGAGATTTCCATAAAGCTAGCAGAGAGGGTGAAAAAAAAAAAGGCAAAGCCAAACAGGTTTCCTTCCTCTCATTCCCTGGGGAGATGCCATCAACACACTCAGAAAAATGAATTTAAGTTCTTCTTCATGTCCACTCTCCCATGATTTTTTCCAGTTTAGACCTGCCATCTGGCCCTCCAGGAACTACACTTCTCAGTGAGCACTTACTTCCCAGTTTCTAAACAAAATGGCCAGCCATTAACACAAGCCAGTCCTGAATGTGGTGACCCTTACAAGGGGAGGCTACAGTCCAACCTCCTTACACAATCCTGACCTCAGGTTCAAAGACTAAAGGAAATCCTACACAGGAAACATCCAGCCCCTAAGACTTCGTATTTCTCACTGCATTACTAAACTAGTTTTTAATATAACACTATTGCTTCCAGCTGCAACCTCTTTCTTCATAGTAATATAAACAACTGGCCCTCCACCATTAGTAACCTCACTGGGCTGAGAAAGAATAGGTTAAACAGATGTGGTAGCATAAAAAGTACATTAAAAATGATGCAGATCTTCTTTCTCCTTCATATACACATACATAAGCAATAACAGAGTCCTATGAAGACTTTGCTTACTATCTATCAAAAATTACCCAAATTTCTCTTATTACCCTGATACCTCGCAGGCATACTTAAAACCCATGCTCTTCTGGTGTCACCTAACTAACAAAGCATCCAGCAAGTACCTACCTACACACTGATTTCATTTGACCAAATTAGGTCAGTTTAGATATCTAGCAGTTTCCCCAACTACAATCCAACTATAACTCTATAATGCTGAAAAGCAATAGATCTTCTACATTAAGCTAATTAAGGTTCAAAATAAGAGGTCAGATGGAGCATGTGGCCTCTTCAACTGCATTACATACCATTTTAACATATATATGGTTCCCCCCCCCAAAAAAAAAAAAAAAAGCCTTTAAAAGCTACAAAACCTCTTAGGTACAAGAAGGTCAGTGCAGATCATCACAACCCTTGGAAGACACAGAAAAGCACATGAAACTCTATTAACTTGACTAAACATCATAAAAGGCATCTGCAGTATGCACGAGCTAGTCAATTTCAGTTCAATCTTTTAACACATACTCAGTACATTTTCCCATGGCAGCCCACTTCCAGTTCAAGCCTCTCATCATTTATTTTCTCTAACTTTAAACTTAATAGCTACGTAAAAGCAGAATTTGTACCTTTCAAATGTACCTACACGTCTTACTTTTGAGTTTATTCTTTTCTTCACGCTAGGACTACATGAAGTCAGATGATAAGGAGTCCATAGTCACTATTATTTATTAAGAAATGTTAACTTCATGATTTTAGCAGTTTTTGAAATCAATGTAATCAAGCAGGATACTCTGGTATATAACCGAATTCTGCAAATTTCTGGTGAAGATTTTTTAACAAGCACTGTTAAAACATTAAGAGGTAATAAATTCTTTCTACAGAGAACTCTTCAGGTCAGCAATTTTAAGTAAAAAAAATCTGAAAATATTACTTACCTGTGGGGGTGGTAGTAATGTAGTCCTTTTCTAGTTCCATAGCTGCTTAACAGAACTGACTGTGAAATGTAAAGTCTTCAATGCTTTTCTTCCAAGGCCTAAAGAGAAACAGAGAAGCTTAGGGGAAGAAAAGCACTAGACCACATATTATAGTAAAAAGCTGCAAAGGCTTCATTCACAAAATAAAAAAAAACAACAAACCAACCTGGTTTTGGATTGTAAGTTACAATTAACTATTAGCAACCATTAAAAATTTCCTAGTAAGGCAAATGGTGCAACATGAGACAGAACTACCCTCAAACACACCTATCTAAGCCTAGATGTCCTAGCAGCTGTCAGTTCTGTTGCTTATAAAGGAGCCACCAGGAGAAAAGCCCTCTGTATGCAGCTTTTTTTCGTTGATAAAAGCCATCTCTATCAACTTAGACTGTTCTATTCTGCAAAGTGATAATCTATATGAGCATACAGTATCAGTGTTACAATTACATCCACAACAGAAATGTTCTTCACATGAACTATACTGATAAAATGGCACAAATTTATCAAGTTCATACCAGCCCTTAGAACACAAACATTCCTCCCTCAAGGACACAGTCTTTAAACTTTACTGTATGTGTACATACAGCTGCCAAACTTTCACATCTTGCTTCTGCAACACCCTTCAAACACTCCTCACAACCACCATTCAATCTGCAAGGGATAAAGTTCAACACTTCTGTCACTCTCTCCCTCCTCCTAGCAGCTACTAATCTACAAACTACCCCATGTCATTATGAAGAGATGGCATCATCCATCTTTCTTTCATGTACACAAAAAATTAAGCAGCCCCAGAATTCCCCATACACTTTCTCACCTGCAAGACTTTCACAGATCACTTTGTAGTCCTGTGAATATTACAGGCATTTGTCTGCCCTGTAGGAATGCAGTGGCTCTTTTTTGCTCCCTTTTTTCTCCCCCTTTTTTGCCCTTTGCTGACCTGAAGACAGTTTACCATTTGTGACACCAAGTAACAGTGCTCCCTTCCCCTCCTCTTCCCTTGTTTTCCTCTGGTATGGCCACTTGCCTACCACAGACCCATTAACTGCAAATGATTCATCACAGACCGTTGGCAATAAAAAACCTCATCTAGGGCACAGTACCAAGCTGTCACGACCGTGTATTTCATAACAGCAACCCAAACAGTTAACAGCTTTGTGTAATAACAAGTCCTCCCTTGCACCACAACACTACTTTTTAATAAACATTTTCCTGAGTTACCTCAACCGATCATTCAGGAGTTCTCAAGTGGTCCCAGTCACCGTTGGTTGAGAGATTTTGTTTTCCTGTATGGATCTCAGTCTAATCTGAGCAAACTACCTTGTAAGAACAGTTTTATTCTTTGTAGTGGAATGTTCCATCAGTTGTCCACCTCTTTGAAAAAGAAGACAAAGGACAAAAACCTGTATTAAATAACAATCATGATTTCATCATTTGCAATCAAGACCTAAATTTAAAGTGGAGAAATACTTCTTCCATATAAGATCCCAGTTGAAATTCTCAGCCTATGGCAACGTAGTAAGTAACACCACAACTTTCATATGCTGTCTTTTTGACACTCAGCACCCTGTTTCGTTTGTGACGAGGATGATGGAATAACTGGGCTTTACAATTCATTTTGTCATACTGATCAGGAGAGACACTCTCAATTTAGCAACGGAGCCTCTCATTAACTCAAGCCAACAGGTCTGCTGGGGCTTCAGGATGCTATTTATTACTATAGCAAAACCACCATCACTTCATATTTTTCATAGTTATGACAGTTACAACCCTGAACCACCAATCAACTACAGAACACAATTTGAAAACATGCATTAAAAACATCAGAATAAATAGCCCCAAAATTTCATGTCAAAAGAAATAACACAGGAACAAAATGGACAGAATTCAAGTGCCTACAACATAAGAATGCTGCAAGAGACTACGATTAAGCACTGATACAAACAGCACTTCTAAAACAGTTCAGGAGACTAGGGTTATTTCCTGAATCTCTGAAAAGCACTAATAAAATATACTCAGCTGTGCTCACCACCACTGCACATACTAAGCAATTCTACCACAGCAGGTAAACAGCAGCAAATTAATATTTAAGAACAAAACACACTGCAGAAGAAAGCTTCCAAAACTTATCAAGACCATACACCCATACAAAACACCCCTGAGGAACTTTCACACAGCCTACACCATTTTTCTCATCTCCTCAACATTAAGCAACCCTCCTCCCATCACCAACGCTTTAGAGACCTGCAAACACGGGCTGTTCTGAGGCCACAGCAAGTATAACCAGGTAAGACTGAGCTACCCGTACAAAACCCGTGCCGCTGGAAGAAATCGATGGCGGAGCAACTCCGGCCCTTAAGAGAGGGCGTGACTGAGAGCCAAGGCCGAAGGGAGCACAGGGCCCTACCGCTGAACACCCGCAGGGCAGCACAGGCCCGACGCGCGCCCACCACGCCCGGCTGCTGCCTGAAAGCACCCGCACCTCACGGAACGCGCCCGCAGCAACACTGACACCGACGCGGGGGCTCGATGAGCGGCTGCCACGGCCGAAGAGCGCGGGGCGGGGGTCAGTGAAGAGGAGCGGCCCCCTCAACGGCGGCACCCACGACCTGGCCACCCCCGCCACGCACCCCGCAGGGAAGAGGAGGAGGACGCAGGGCCGGGCCGGGCCGCGTCCCCTCAGAGGCCGCCCGCTGAGGCCGTTACCGGCGGTCCTCGCTCCCGCGGCACGGCACGGCCCCGCCCCCCTCCGCGGCCGCGCGCACACCCTTGCCTGCTTGTTGTTGTTTTCTTCCTCCCCCCCCCAGCGACACGGCCGCCAGCGCCGCCGCCGATTGGCTGGTTCCCGCCTGCCGCCGCAGCCAATCGGCAGGCGGGGATGGCGGTGGGAGGGGGACGGGAGGGCGGTCAGCCCTCAGGAAAAGGAGTGAGGGGAGAGAGGGCGAAACCATCGCGGGCGTGTCGGGGGGGGGGGAGAGGGGGGGAGCCGGAAGGAGCCATTCGTGCAGGGAGGGGAGCAGGGGGCCGCGGCCTGTGAGGAGAGTGGCAGTTGTGCCTCGTTCACCGGGGGGATGCTGCCCCTTGGTGCGGGAGGGAGCATGAGACAAGCGGCGAAGCTTGGCTCCTTCCTCCTCCGGCCCTGTGGCCCCTTGGTACCTGCTGGTTGAAATGAAGCTGCTTTACGCTGCGTAGATGGGTGAGGAATTGTCTCTGGGGCTGTCCCGCACGCACCGGACCCGCACCTAACATTGCCCTGTACAACATTACCCCCGTCCGCCCACAAAAGTGTGCCTGGTCATCATATCCTGACTTCTTAACCTTCAGGAGGATCAGCAGTGTCAGTTAGCAACGCCCTTGACCGGCTTTAGGCCAGATCTGACACGATGAACGCCAGGATGTGGGAGAACTGTGAGGGGATGTCTGGGTGTTTGCAGTGACAGACCTGAGGAAACCCTGACAGCTCTGCTTGCCTCCTCAACATCGTGTCCTCCTCCGTTAAGAAGAAATCTATTTTCTGCACCAAAACCATCATAGGAATAATGTGCTACCTCTTCTTTGTGTTGCTAACATGGGGATCTTTTACTCTCTCTTCACACAAGACCCCCCTGTATTCTCTTCATTGGGTGTCATTTGGGCAGGAGGACTGGGAAACACTGCAACTGGCCCACAGTTGGCAAACAGGATACCTGCTGCCCGGCGATCCAAATAATGGGCTGCAGCCACCTTACACACTGCTGGAACTCAAACCCAGTGCAGATTCAGCTAAACCAGCCATACCCACCTACAACCTTCCAAACTTTCTGCCTTAGTTTAGTTTACATTGACCCTGTTTATTCTATATGAACTGCCTGAGGCCAGACACCTAATTAGAGACAAGAGTCTCTCATGTATTTTGCCTCCATTCACAGTTTCTCCTAAAAACTCAGCTAACCCTTTGTTTCTCTCTGTAATTTTTCACTCTGGAGAGCCCAAGCAAAAGCAGTCCAGTGATATGAGCAAAGCAAATACAGATCCCTTTTGCTTTAGTACTTTTGCACTGCAGAGTATTTCAACTGCCAACAAGAGAATCCTCCTCAGTCAATAGATGATGGCTTGAATTTTATAGTACTTTTACATATTTTTCCAGTACAATTTACTCCAAATCAGTGTACTTTTGACTGAAATAAGAGCCGAACTTTCCTTGTATAAGAGCCTCTGATTTAATTTACTGGCCCAGTTCTCCATAAGTTGTCAAAACTTGGTTTCAGAATTAAACCAACAGTGATCTGTTAAAAGAATGTGTAGCACAATTGCTGTATTTTTAATGATAATTACTTTCCCCATCAGGCAAAAGACAGAAAGAAAACCTTTCTTGTTCATGAAGACACTAAGTTGCAGACATTTTCAAGTCAGGACACTTCAGCATGCTCACACAGGACTTCTTTCATATGCAACCTAGAGGCAGCCTCAAAAGATGTTGTTTCCCCATCAATCAAAAAGTAATATCTCATTTGTTCTATGCACCTCCATTGCATGTACCAAGCAAACAGATCATGGGATCCAGCTTCCCTTGCAAGCCAGAAAAAGGGCTTTACAAATGTTTTTCAGTGAAGGGGAAATAGGTGGCAGAGAAACTGAAACAAAACTAACCAGAACCTGCACCAGAGAAGATGCCACAAAATACCAAATCAGTGCATCATGCCAGTTATACATTTTAAAGCACCCTGGAAAACTGCTAGAGGATTTTCTGGTAAAATTTAGGACTGGATCACTTCCAAGAGGCCCAAAAGCTGGGTCAGTGATCAAAAGAAGATTAAAACCCCTGAACCATCCAGCATACTTCCAGATAAGAAAATGATGTGGTTTTCCTTTCTTCTGCTGAATTTCTTTATTAGCAGCTGGGTTATTAATCACTGAAAATCTAGTCTAGATTTGACTGTGCATATTATCTGATCTGTAATACACTGTGACCTGAAAAGGGTCTGATGTGCATGACAGATTTTTTGTATTTTTCCATTGTTATCAACCAGTCTGCTCAAAGATATCACCTCTTTTTGCCTTTCTAACCTCAAAACCACCTGCAATATTATAAAGACAGCTGATCATATGCTGATCTCTGAGCTGTAGAGCCCTGCTTCCTCTCTCCCAGCCTCCCTACCCCAGCCATATTAATAGCAAACATACCACCAAAATCCTCATAAAAACAAAAGAGCAGATTTTCTCCTCACATAGAAAAAGAAACCACCCTCTTTTGACCATTTCTGGCCAATTTGCAGCTTGAGACAACCCATGCGGGCTGTGCAGCTCAGCATCCTCTCCGCAGCACCTGCATCCCGGGTTTACCTGCACCCAGGACCTCCTCCGCTCCAACCTGTGCCAAGGGGGACCCGCCAGCAGCTCCCACCCTTAACGCCGCCAGTCACCTGGAGCAGAATGCTTGCACCGAGGCGAGCAGGTCACTTTCTAGCTGCCTTCCTTCCTTAGAGCCTGCTGGGTTGTTTTCAAACTCTCCCCTCCCTTTCTCACATGCTGGCCAAGCCCTCTTGTAACACCCAGGGGAGGAATCCATTGGCTGAAGTTCCCCAAAACACGTGGAGCAGCCCTTCCCCCTATCCAATCTCTAGTTCACAATAGACACAGGGTGTCTCCAGGCTGCCCTGGACAGTTTGCTGCTGGCCTTTGCTTTTCATCAAGGTTTATCTGAGCTGCAGCTGCCATGACTCACACAGGTCCCTGACCTCCGGCACCGAAGAGAGCAGAGAAGAGCAGAGAGAAATGGTGTTAGGTTAGAAACATCACAGATCATTCTCATTGCGCTCCCCTGGCTGTGGGTTTCTCAAAGTTTTACTTTCTGTTTTAAATATTTTCGATAGGCAGCATCTGTGCTCCTGACACCTCAGCAGTGCTGTTTGATTACAGTCGAGTCTGTTACTGTGCCACTTGGAATATAAATTGCCACACATAATGCACACGGCAAAAAATATATCGTATCTGTTAAATCAATCTGCTCTGTTCAGTTGCCTGTCTCTTGGCCTTCTGCTTTCTCTTCCTTCAGCCTACTTTTATTTTTGCATCTTCTGCAAAGGTGCCTTCATAAAATGAACTGCAAGCACAGCAATCCCATTCTTCAGGAGGCAGCGTCAGCCCCAGGTTGAAAGGATAGTAAATCATGCCTTTGCTGTTTTTTAATGCTCAGTAATTAGAGTTGCTTTTGAACATCCTCCTGCAGCTCCATCCATGAGCTGGGAACAAGACTGTGCTGCAGACCTGTGTGTGCAGTGCCTGTCAAGACTGGGAACCCTTTGGAGGGGTGGAAGGGGGTCACCATACGGTTGCCTGAACATGGAGACTGAAGTGTCACCCACTGTGATGGCTTTGGATAGCACTTTCCCAAACCGCAGCTTGCCTGTCTTTGTTGTGGCTTTCCAGGACTTGCCCCTCACATTGCACAAAAAGCCTTCCCTCTTCACATTTCTGAGTACACCCTTCTGGCAGAAGTGTTAGAATTGGGTTTGCTCTGTAAAACTGTTCCAGGCATGTCTCCTCTGTGCTGCAGTTGTCATCTGTTCATTCTTGCCTTAACAAAAGGCAACCACGCATCTGAAAAGAAGCTTTACTGGAAAGGGCTGAACTTGTGAAATGTGCAGAAAAATGGGAGTGCTTGATTTAAGAGATCCAGACAGTGAGTTCATTTAAGAGCTAACAACCAGAAACATGAAATACCGCCTTTACCTCAGAATAATTGTCCTTTTTTACTGGTTCACTGTGGGAGAAAATCCTAGGGAACCGTTTATTAAAGCAAGGTGTGTTATTGCCTTGTAATTATTATTTGACAAGCTGAGGTCTTGTGATTAATAAATCATGTGCCTGCTTTTTGTGTGTGTATAATCACATGCTCCATATTTATATTGACAGGGCTACAGAATAGTTACCTTTGTGTATAGGACTGGCAGAAACTTCTGTGCTACCAATCTCCTATCATCACAGGCACTGTGGGATATAATCCTTTTTGTAAACTTACTTACCAAGTTCCGTCCTCAAAGTGATTTAATATTTTTGCATGCATGCCTGCAATGGGGAGGCTATTCCAGAACCACTGGCAGAAGCTTAGTAATGACCTATCCAGAGTTTCTGATGTCTCTTTTTGATCATTTATTCTGTATCAGCACTGGCCTTCCACACTATCAGCTCTTCCCTCTCTTTTCCTGGGAGTATTAATGCAGAGAAATACTCCCTCTCTCAGCATTCTCTTTGCAAAATGAAGCGAGATAGATAGCTTTTCCTGAAGCACACCCCAGCCTTTGCTGCAGCCTGGGCTGCACCTCTCCTGCTGTGTCCCAGGACTACATTTCTTGCTTCATGTTTCCACTGTGTTGGCAAGTCAGTTATTTGGTGGTCGAAGTGTGAGTTGTCAACTAGCTTGTAGAAAAGGGTTCAGTCATTTGTGCCTATGACCACCACTTTCTGCTGCTGACTACTTTTCTCTGTATAATATCTCAAGCTTCCTTTGTCTTGAGGTTGCTTCATATTTTCTGTCATCAGCAATTTCACCAGTTCCCCACTAACATAAGTGCCAAGCTCATTTACAAAAGCACTTTACTAGATCTCCACGAGTGATGTTTAATACGTCCCTGGTAAGTGCCCTCCAGCCTGACAGCCGTCTGCTGCTCTCACAGCAGATCTTTATGGGGTTTAAGCCTTGTGCTAAATCACTTCTCCCTTTTCTTAAGACTTTTCCACATGGCACCATATGAAATGTGCAATTCAAGTCTAGATAGGAGAGATCCACCCCATTTCCTTCACTAAGCAAATGGCTTGCAGCTTGCCTTACCCAAGAAAGATAAATGGGTTTGATAAACCCATTTAATCTCATGCCATTTACCTCCCTCTCTTTTGCTAGCCTTTGCTTCACCATTTTTTCTGAAGCTTTCCATATACTATTAAGCTGAAACCTTCATGCCTGTTCTTGTCCCAATCAGTTCACTTCTGTACAGGTTCACTGTGCTTCTGTCCCTGACTGAGGGACCTGTTAAAGACATCAGGCCAGTTCTTCCAGAGCTCTGGCATGCGGATCAGCCCGTTCCTCTGCCTTAAGTGCAGGAAGGAGCCCTGAGATTTGCTTCTATCCTGGCCGTGAATATTTTCATACCCCCATCCCATTATACTTCTCATCTGCAGCCACATGATTAACATCCTCAGTGAAAGTTGAGGCAAAGCATGAGTTTGGGTTTTGCACATACCTAATACACATTAACCTCTATCCCATACAATCTCTCTTTTTCCTCTGTGTTTTTTTCAGCCATATACAGCCAGGAAAAACATTTTCCCATTTTTATTAATATCCTTTAGAAGACAAAACCCCAACTCAATTTTGAGACTTACCTTTTACACCCAGTGGGATATTTTGCTTTTTGAAATGATTCCTTGTGATGACTGCTCATTCTTAGTATCATTTCTGAGGTTGAAATGATATTAAGCTGCAGCCTCTGTCTTCAGGTTTTTCCCCTTGCCTGGGTTTTATCCCCAGTGAAGTTCTGCTTAATTAATTAGAGTTTTATCCCCAGTCCTAGAATCTCATTGCAGTGAAGTTTAGACATGTAAATCCCAGAGCTCCTAAGGAAAGCTGGCTATATGGATTAGTTCCTGTTATATATTTAAATACACCATTTGGAAGTCTGAAGCTGTATCAGTTAAGCCTGCCTTGATCGCAGACATATCACATTTTAAGCAGGGTACTGTTTATCGTTAGAAACCTGAAGCATCTCAATTCTCCTAGAAAAAAACTTGACCAAAGTGGATTTTCCTGATATTTCTAGGATAAAAATCAGCAACACATTGGAAAGGCAGAAGTGGTTTAGTTGGTCTTTTTAGAAATAATTTTTTTTTTTTTTAACCTTAAAAATAGAACTGTTCAAGTCACCTTTAGTGTAAAACACCCAAAGGTGTTTTACTGCAGCAGGGCCAGGAGACTCAGCCAAGGCCAATGAGGTCTAGAGATGTGACTGCCTCTCTTCACCCTGTTTCACATCTGCTTTTTCCTCTGGTTGTCTCCTCTAACTCTTCCTCTTCAGCCCCCCTTCTGCTTTCATCCCTACTGACTGCCCCAGAGACCCAGCACTGTGCTGAAGTCGGAGTGTTGGTGTGCAAGGGCTTGACATTCTCAGCTCTTTTGCTGCAAGGGACAAAGGTTTTGCATCAGCTGCCTGAGCCAGCCACAGAGCGTAACAGTACAGAGGAATGTATTTCTGATCTCGTGGTGAGTGTCTGCACATATATCTAGGCTCCTTGGCAGGCTTGGACCACCTGGTCTGGAGGGCAATCAGTGCTGCTGCACCTTCCCTGTAGCCAGGGCTTGGCTAATGTGACTGCACTGCTGATAAAAGCACAACCACCTGTGGCCATCACCAGTTCTTGCATAGCGTGTTCTGGGGTATCAAGGTTGCAGTGACTCTAGAGATGTTCCCTGACAAGGAAAGTCCTTGTAGTCTCCCATGTGCGTATGCCAGAGGGCTGGATGGAGCATGGTGGAGATGGGGGCTGTGGTGATGGTATTCAGCCCAGGGGCACACCACACCACACCACACCTTGCCCTCCAGGTCGCTGTCTGCCATGGACTTGCCCACTCTGTGCTGTGACAAGCTGGACTACAACCTCAGGCACAACAGATCCCACAACAGCCCTTTGGCAGTGTGCATGAGGCTCCCAAGGGAAGGAGCGAGGCTTAGGAACGGTGGTGCTGCTTCCAGTGCTTAGGAACAGTGGTGCTCACCCTCCTGGTGGGCCGAGCGCTCCCCCACCTCTGCACCCTCAAGTTGCTGGCACAGGAGAGGGTGAGGTGTGTCCTCACGTTGGGGCATGAGCCACAAAGTCAGCACTTCGGGGCCAAGTTCCCATCTGACGCCGACTTACTGCATGACCTAAGGCAAGTCACTTACCTCCTTTCCTGCGTTTCCTGACTCTGCTAAACGCCAGGGATAATAAGTAACTTTGTATGAGTGCTACGAAGCTTTGAAATCTCCAGATGAAAAGGTGCTGTATAATTGCAAAGCGTTTTTAATAATGCTAATCATTCGCTTCACTCCGCATTGCTTGTCAGTCTCAGGCTGCAGCGCTGCGGCAGCCGCCAGCATGCAGCCAGCGAGCATCAGGCTTTGCTGAAGTGGAGGATTTTCCCGAGTTCGTTTCCATTTTGACCTCATGCTGGTTCAAACAGGAATCTGAGCTCAGCCCAGGACCTGACAAAAAGCCACAAGCCCAGAACAGTGCTTGGCGCTTGCAGGCAGGAGCTTTCTGGAAAGCAGGGGTATTTGGGGGAAGGGATTTAAACAGCTGTGTTGACAACACAGACAAAAGGGATCTGATTCAGGCTGAGGGGGGCTACGTGAAAGGCAGCACGGAGCTGAAGTTAAAGCAACAGTGAAGAGGAAGGAGAGGGAAGAAAGGAAGATCGCTTGGGCTGAAATGCTCCTGGTTTGGATGCAGCCACAGCCACGTGTCCCAGGAGGTGCTGGGCTGGCACCAGCCTTCTCTGCATCCCAGAGAGGGCTTTATACTTTCAGATGTGCCCTGTCAGGGGTGCAGGGGCCTTCTGGGGCAGAGAGCTTGAGTGTGGACACTAATCCAGAGGATTACAAAGGCAGCGCTTTTGTGAAGCACTGCAGCTAGAAGCAGATGAGGTTATCTTCTTTAGGAGAGCTGATGTTTAACCAGTGTTATTTTCATTTGACTCACTAACATGACAGTAGCCAGTGATGCTGGAACCTCACTGCAGCCTAGTGCCTCTTCTTCCAAACAGAGGAGACTCTGTTGCACTGCTGGCAACTCCTGTGATTTTATCACAACTTTTATGCTTTGGGGAATATATCCTAAAATCCCAGCTCCTTGCAACAAGGGAATTGCAACTTTCATTTATAAACAAAGTATGTCCCTAGCCCTCAAGGCTGGGGATGAAAGATTTGAAAGCATGAAACTAGCGCAACCTAAATGCTCAAAAAGCTGGGATGTGAATAAAGAGATCCTAAAGTTTGTGGGCTAGTAATAAAAAAAGTCAGGAAAAGAAATAGTTGGCAAACAACTTCTTGGGAAACGGGGCAGGGCTCGGGCTGACTCCTGGCTTTTTGGGACTTGGGGTTGCCAGTATGCCTTTGAACTTTGCAGCCATTCATAAATCCTTACATAACAACAGCAGCCGCAACGCACCGGAGCTCCAGAAATGCTGACATGAGGAAAGTGATGGGAAAAGATTATTTTAGCAACCTATGACAACACTCACCTTGAAGCATGAATCTTTAAAGATGGAAGACGTGGAGCCTCAATGACATATATCCCCTCAGAAAGGAGGATCTTTTTGCTCCAGGAACTCATTTTGCACTGTAGCAAACCCCTTCTAGGTAAAGAGGAATTCAAAGGCTCCACAAGATCATTGAACGGCATAGAACCCCCCATGGCAGGGGGGTTGGAACTAGATGATCCTAAGGTCCTTTCCAACCCTAACTATTCAATCATTCTATGATTGAAAGAGGTTTGAATCTGTGTCTTGGTCCCTCACATTTCAGGAAAATGATTCCTCTTTGTTGCAGTGGGTGGTCTTTGTTGAAAGCTTCCAGAACCCAATACAAGCAGATTTCAGCTTCAGAAACCTCATAAGCACTGCTCTGTTTTATACTGTCTGCATCTTCAGGCATGTTTGCAAGATCACAAGCAATCAGGATACCACAGAGGTGCTAGTTACTGTGTGTCAGCTAACTCCTGGTGCACATACCTCCTGAGCTAACATTCACTCGCCTAGACCACCTGCATTGTGGTTTAATCAAACATCGTTTACTTCCCACTTTGCTTGGCTGACAAGAAGTAATTCATGAAAGTGAGTTCAT